CCCCCCTCCCCCCGCCCCAATAACCCTGGGCCAGGGCTGTTAATGTTTGCAAAGATGTCCCACACGTGGGAATAGAGGGACAAGCAGACCAGTGGAACAGAAGTGGACCCCGGAACACCTGGACATTTAGTGACAACTGCGACATCTCAAACCTCTGACAGAAAGAGGACTCTTCAAGGCCGGCGACTCTTCAAGGCCTTTTATCAGAGAGCGTTTTTCTTTTATCAGAGTATATCCACAACAGAAATAAATGCTTTACTCCCCAGCGACTGAGAGCAAACCATATGGGCAGGAGGAGATCCAGCAGGACACCCTGGGAAGAAGAGGTACCAGGAGTCAGGTTACCCTCAGGTCTCCCATCTCCTTTCCTCTCTCCCCAGGCCAAGGTGTGGCCCTCCCCTCTTCTGGACATCTCCCTGCTTCTGAGGCCTAGTGGACCTGGGCCAGGGAATGTTCCATCTAGCCCTATGCCTGTAGTTGCCCCATGAAGGTACCTGTATAGCGTGGCTGAAGCACCCAGAGGTTTGGGAGGTGAGGCCAAGGGTGTCCAACGCCTGCGGAGCAAAGTCTTCGGAATTCGCTAGGAGCTGCCGGAATTTCACGGGATGGGTCATATCTGTGTCGACCATGCAGGGGCTCACTGTCTGCAGGAAGGGTAAAGGTAAGAACTCCCTGCCTGTCCCAGCCTAAACTCCTAGGCCCTGTCTGAGAATCCCGGAGTTCCACCCACTTGCTGCTCTCCCACAAGGGTCTCAGGGAGCCCGCCCCTCTACAGCCCGCCCCTCTAGCACACGCTCCGGGCCACACTCATGAAGGCCACGCCCCCTGCGCCAACCCACCGCTTCTGAGGCCGCTCCATTAAAGCCTTCCTGAGTCACCGTCCTCACTGAAGTCCCCTGCCCTAACCCCGTGAGCCTCTAAGCTCCTACCCCATGCCAGTGCTCCTCCCCTTCTGAGCTGCCACTCTTGCTACGTTTCTTAGGAGCCCCGCCCCCGCGGTCAGGCACCTGCACGATGACTCCTTGAGAGAAGTGCTCTGCGCCTACTGCCTGGGAGAAGCTCCGCACAAAAGCCTGTGGAGCAAGGAGAGGGAGCGTCCCAGGCCCGCCAGCATCCCTGTGCAGACTCCTCCAGCATCCCTGTGCAGACTCCTCCAGCCTGCCCTTGCCCCAGCGCTGTCCCTGCTCCTAGAACACCACACGGCTGCAAAAGGCCCCCAGGCTCCCAGGCCCAAGTTCTCACCTTAACACCTGAATTCCGTGCTCTAAGCCCTCCCTCTATTCCCACACACCCACTTTCCATTCCAGCAGGGCCAGTCTCTGATCTCCTTCCTACCTCATGTGTTCTCTCGACCCCTAGCCTCTTCTCTTAAAAAAAAAGAAACCTGCTTTATCCACTGGACTGTGCCCCAGATGTCTGTCTGACTTGTGAATAGCCCCAGACTCAAGTGGGCCCTCTCTCTCTCTCTTTCTCTCTCTCTCTCTCTCTCTCTCTCTCTCTCTCTCTCTCTCTCTCTCTCTCACACACACACACACACACACACACANCCATGGCAACCCACTGCCACAGGGACTGCAGCCTACGCCGTTGCCAGCGACTCACAGGCAGCCCAGTTCCAGGTTGAGCTGTTATTCAGCATCTTAGCTGTAGAGGGCAGTGTCACTGGCCCTCATATGTGGGATCCGAACCGGGGCCCTCTGGCATCCCAAGCGATTTCTTAACCATTGCGCCACTCGGCCGGCCCAAAAAATGCATTTTAAATATAAAGCCATCATATACAGAAGTTAATTCAAAATGAAAATGTATATATTTAAGTGTTTATATTAGAAAAGAGGGTTTAAATCAATTATCTAAGCTTCTACTGTAAGAAGCTAGGAAAAGAATAGCAAATTTAACCCAAAGCAAGCAGAAGGAAAGAAATAATAAAGATAAGAATGGAAACAAATGATACAGGAAATTGACCAAAAATAAGAAAATTTAGTTTGAAAAAACTTGGTTCTTTGAAAAGGTTAATAAAATTGATAAACTTCTCACTAGATTAAATCATGAAAAGAAATGAAAAAGATTATTAAATTCAAGAATGAAAGAAATTAAAAGAATAAAAAATGATAAACAATATTATGCCAATAAATTTGGGCACTTAGTTGAAATAGACAAATTCTTTGAAAAATGTAAATTATCAAAACTGACACTTGAAGAAATAGAATATCTGAATATCACTATAGCTATTAAAGAAATCAATTTATTATTAAAAACTTGTCCACAAAGAAAGTATAAGGGCCAGAGAGCTTCACAGTTGAATTCTGTTAAACGTTTCAGGAAGATGTGATAGCACTCTTACATAAACTGTTTCAGAACAGAGAGGAGGAAGGAGTGCTTACCAACTCATTTTATGAAGGCAGCATTACCCTGAAATCAAAATCAGACAAAAGCATTACAATGAATGAAAAGTACAATCTATATCCCTTATGAACATAGATAAAAAATCCTGAACAAAATATTAACAGATCTCCTACAGTAACTTATGAAAATGTTGCTTGACCAAGTGGGATTTATTCCAGACTGATTTACCAACCAAAAATCTATTAGTGAAATTCACCACATAAATAGAATTTTGGAGTGAAATCATATCATCTCAATAAAAGAAAAAATTTGACATAATTCAACACACATTCACGATAAAAATTCTTGGCAAATTAGAAATAGAATGAAAGTTTCTCAACTTAATAGAAGGCATCCACAAAGACCTCCGCTAACATTTAATGGTGAAAGACTGACCACTCTCCCTCCAGGATCAGGAACAGGATAAGGATGTCTATTATCTCCACTTTTACTCAATATTGTAATGGAGCTCCTAGCCAAGGCAATAAGGCAAGAAAAAGGAAATAAAAGGTGACAGGTTGGAAAAGAAGAAGTAAAATTCTCTTTATTTGTGGATGACATGATTATGTACATAGAAAATCCTAAGTATTCTAGAAAAAAAGGACTAGCATTAATGAGTGATTTTAACAAGGTTGTAAGATACGAAGTGAACATAAGAAATTAATTGTATTTCTAAGTACTACCAACAAACCACTGGAACATAAGATTTAAAAATATCATTTACAACATCGCCACAAAATATAAACACATATATAAAGCTAACAAAATATATGCAGGATGTGGGAACTGAAAACTATAAAACTTTAATGAAGAAAAACTAAGAGAGAGAAAACAAATTACCCATAGCAGGAATCAAAACGAGACATCACTATAGATCCTACAAGCATGAAAAGGGCAATACAAGGATAATACAAACCACTTCACGTCGATACATTTGAAAATTTAGGTAAAGTGGATAAATTCTTTGAAAAATAAAACCACAACAAACCTATGAAGAAATAGAAAATCTGAATAGTCCTATATCTATGAAAGAAATTTAACACATAATTAATTTTTTCCCCCACAAAACTCCAGATGGTCCCACTGGTGAAATCTTCCAAACACTTAAGG